AGTACAGGATTCCATGCAGACAAACAACAAAACAACTAATTTTGGAAAGATATTCAAAAGAAAAACTAGCTCTGAAGGACCAGCTCACTGTACGTCTGAGTAACTTTTTTTCCTGTTTGTCATTATTTCCCCTCTATTTCAATATGTTGTTTTGTTTTATGCTTTCCTAAATGCAAAATGTTAAATGGCTATATTAATAATTTGATTAATCATTTAGTAATCACTGATAAATGTAAATGACAGAATTCTTATTTATTAACATGACAAATAACAGTGACAGTCAGTTGTGACTACATGACCTGCTCCATAATTTTGAGTCGTTTTGGTCCAGAAACATTTTTATTTTCATTAAAATAAAATGAATGTCTTCTAATCATTCTAATGACTATTATGATTGATTCTAAAATACAATCATTTAAACATTTATTTGTAAATTAATTTCTTGAAAACCTAAATGTGTTCCTGTGTCAAAGTGGCTCAAAATGATGGAGTTCTTGAAACTTGTTTTTACATTTTTGAAACTTGTTTTTACATTAATTTCTTTTCAGGCTGTACAAAGTGTCTGTCTCACAACTGCGGACATCTGTTGCAATGGAATCATATATTGCTGTGACAGCACATTATATTTCTGATGATTTCCCTCTGCTGACCAAATTACTGGAGGTTGAAAGGTAAAATATATTTTTTAACTGGTAAAAATAAAAAATATGGAGTAAAATGCAGAGTAAACTGTGTATCCTAATGAGTATTAGGATACACAGTATTATTGTTGGCTTATGATTAGCCTATTAAAACGTTTGAGTGGCCTAATTTATAGTACAATTGATGGGAGTTAATTGAAGTCATTTTGAAAACTTAATATTTTTTTTTAATTCCATTTGATAATGTTCGTTCTGTAGAAATTACTCTTTTTCAGAATTAAATTCAGAAATTCAGATTTAACAGTTAGGAAACTATGTGCATAATAAATAATGTGTGCTGAGTATATCTTATTTCTTTGTTAGATTTGAAGGAAGACACACAGCTGATGCCATAGCTACACACCTCCGCAGTATCCTTCTGGAGTGGGGTCTTCAGGACAAAGTTTTTTGTGTAACTACAGACAACGGAGCAAATGTGGTTGGAGCAGTAAAAAAAATGAACATGAGAAATCTGCCATGCTTTGCGCACACTCTCAATCTTATAGTAAAAGACAGCCTTGCTGCAGTCACTGAACTTGATGACTTGAGATCCAAAGTGAGGAGAGAGTGGTAGGATTTTTTAGATCCAGTTGCACAGCAAAGGAGAAGCTAGACAACTTGCAGAAAGACTTGAAAATGCCCCAACTGCGCCTTCTCCAGGAGGTTGAAACTAGGTGGAATTCCACCTATTTAATGCTAGAGAGGTTTTTTAACCTCCGGGAACCCCTCTCTGCAGCAATGAGCAACATGGACCTACCCATGTTTTACCCCCAGGACTGGACTGCAATGGCTGATGCAATTGAGGTGACCATACTTTGTATCATATTCACGAGTTCACACTTACATACAATAGGCTCTATGCACGTCGCAGTTCCGGGTTCGCGTGTACTAGGCTATCAACTTCCGGTTCAACTTCCTGTTTATACACAGTCAGATATGGCTCTCTTTTATAGTCGTTGTCTTCAGGACTTACCTCGTCTGACGGTAAATGATGTAGACCGACTCATTAAAACATCATGTGCTGCTCCCAACAGCAAGCGGGAAAAGGGATTTAAAATGTACATCGGGAGCTATATCGACAATTATGAGGGTAAGTAGCTAAAGTACTTACTATATTAACCCCTCAGGTTGTGTAGGTCATTTTGACTCGGTGAAAATTTTAATTAGTTAATGTTATCGCATTCGACTGAAACTTAGCGACTTTGTTTACAAAGGGTATAACTACTTCTCAAATGTTTTTGCGAGAAATTGAAATGAAATGAAAATTTGACAATTTTCGTAGGGGAGAGCGGGGCACAACGTAACGTGGGGCTAGTTGTAACACACTTGTTTTAAATACTTCCACACATGCCAGCATGACGAAACCTCTTTTACTGTCTATGGACGAAACTTAGTGTATTTACTAGTTGTCATATCAGCACTATATAGAGAAAAAAATGCGCCAAAATTCAGAAATCGTTGTAAGATATCACTGAACATTTATTTAACCATAGCAAAATTATTTTTCTTACTATATAAATTTTTCATCTCTATTCATTTGTGTTTATTTAAATTTAGACAAATCTGATACATTAAAAAATGCCATTATTTTATATGAAAAAGTTAATAATTGTATTTTATTGAGAAAATGTTTTGGTTTGACTTGTATATATTTTTTATTAGATCAGATAACATTTTAAGCTGTCATGTTACAATGTGCCCCTCCTATATGGCATGTTGTCACATTTAACTTCTATTCTTTAGGGGTATATCAAGAAAAAAAAGTATACACTGTATTAGTAAAACAAAACCACATAATTGTACTAGACATGTGGGAAATTAATGTGGGGAAAAATAAATACTCTAAACCCTAAGTAGATTTACACAAACTGAGTAAGTCAAAAAGCGTTACGTTGTGCCCTGCTCTCCCCTACTTTTTAGGGGGGAGACTTGTTCTCTTTGAATTAGGACTGGTTTTATATTTATTTTTGCTTCTAATTAACCATAGGCCTCATTTATCTGAGAGTAGGCATCTCATTTTTTGATATATAGATAGATATATACAAATTTTTTTATTTTTATTTTTACAAATGTTTGACTTTTTTACTAAATAAAACAGTTTCAAAATGTATGTTCATCTTTCTCCCTAACAGTGTCAATGAAAGACAAGGTGACAGGAGAGGTCAGCGTGAGGGCAGTCTGTCATAGATCCATGAGGAAAAATGAAAAGCCACACAAATTGAGAGTAGGGTGACTAGGGTCAATGTTAGGGTAATAGTTAGGCCTGTTGATAAGTTGCCCATATCAGCTAATAAGTAGCATTATCTAAATGTATATGGCTTAGTCTCTGTCTACTGTTTATGGACTTGAATGGGTAGGCCTACATTTTAACATATGTGCCCCTCATCTAGAATACACTATGCTTTTATTAGTTATATTTTCCTCTTGTTAACAGTTTAGCTCTTGAGAGGAATTTGTCATCTAAGCTTCTATTTCTCCCTAGATGGTGTTAAAACACTCGAAACCTGTCATTTTGGCGAGCACTCACTGCTCCTGTGTGGCGGGGTGTGCCTTATGCAACCATTTGGTTGCACTACTGTATCAAACAGCACACTTCTCCCAATTAAGCATCCCTGCTGTACCCCCAGTGCACAGTTGCACTGACACTGAGCAGATCTGGCATAAACCAAGGACCTTGGTAAGTCATCTGTCTGTCATGTGAATTGTACCTATGCACATGTAGCTATTGTGATGCCATGTCAAAATGTGTCTTTGCTGTCAGGGTGTTAGGCCAGGTCCGGTGGGAGACATGGAGGTCCGCAAACCCCAAAATTCAACCGCGGTTTGTGTGAGGTGAGATTATTTTACCTTTAGTTTATGTGTTTAATATGTACGCTGCAGTTTAAAAAAAAAGTTTTTTCACTTTACCTTTTTCAGAAGTTCTCTCTACAAAGCACTGGACGGAGAAATGCCAGATCTAGCCACATTGAGAGTGGCAGAGGTATACAAGCACTTTCCCCCTTTGCTTGCACCTCTAGTGACCACCATGGGCATGTCAGCAGAAGTCCCATTAGTTCAGTCAGCTTTTGGGGCTGTCCAGGCAGGGAGTGTGCTGTCATTTCAGCTAAAACCACCAGAAATGCGGGAAATCATCAACATCCCAGGCGCCCCTGCCCAACCTTCTATTCCCATCCAAAGCTATAGGCTTGAGCCAACCACATGCGCCTATGTGTTATCAGAGGAGGAACATGTATATATGAAATCGCTACAGGTGTCATTCGACATGGCCCACAGGGTTGAAGCTGCAACACGGGAGCAGAGCTCATGCCAGGAATGGCATCGACTGAGAAAGATGCGAGTCACATCTACACGCTTTCACGAGGCATGCCATGTTCGCTGTCATACATCTGCTGAAAATCTGGCACACAGAATTTTGAGGGGGACTGTCATGACGAAGGACATGAGGAGAGGAATCGATATGGAGCCAGTTGCCGTGACAGAGTACTGCAGTTTAAAAAATGTGAATTATTCACCCTGCGGGTTCATCATACACCCTGATGCTCCATGGCTGGGATGCTCTCCCGATGGAGTCGTTTTCGATCCTTCTGACAACCCACCATTTGGCCTGCTGGAAATAAAATGCCCCAACATCCAGAGTTATGTTGACTGTCCCTACCTCAAAACGTCAGACGGTTCTTTGCAGCTTAGGAGGCAGCACAAGTATTACTGGCAAGTGCAAGGTCAGATCCTCCTAACAGGTTTCGAGTGGTGTGATTTTGTTGTATGTGCGCAGGAGGACATGTTTGTTGAGCGTATATACAAAGATATTGATGTAATGCGCACCATTAGAGACCGAGCAGATCTGTTTTTTTTTTTACCACTACCTACTGAAGTGTTTGCGTGTTTAGGTCATTTTTAGATAACCAGTGAAGTATTTCTCAATTTCTACAATTGTACAAATGTTGCTTTATTTAATGACTGTGTGTTACAGTGTGGCCACATACCACTGGTGGTCCATTCAATTATAATATACAGCATTATATTTATTGTATTATTATTTGTTATTTACACTATAAACAATATTTACATATATATACAAAATACTCATATATACACACATACTATATTTATACAATATATATACACCTGTATCTATTATATTACATTAGACATGTATATGTACATATATATTTAGATTTGTATAGGCTAGTTAATAAATATGTTGTTATGCATTATGAAATTATAATAAAAAATGCATAAGGAAACACTGTCTTAGTTTTGTCTGTTGATCAGAGTGTGAAATCCATAGTTTTTACAAAAGTATATGTACAATATTTACATTTACCTTAGCACATTAACAAGGATGAGGGTTTTTAGACTCAGTGGCTCCATGCCTTGACAAGTGGTCCACATTGGTAGTTCACAAGCAAACATGCCACTGTAAACAGTTGGTTTATGCTACCAGAAATGGACAAGGGGATGACTGTGTCAAACAACTTATGCTCCTTCACTCGACGGATAAGACGTTCAACGTGTACCCTGAGCCTGGCCACAGACTGAGTGTGTGTCACTTCATGAGGTAGCATTTGTTTTCCCTTGGTCAGGAAAACAGGCCGGTGAATTTTGCATGGCACTAGGCTGTCAATTAAGAATCCCTTATCCACCATGATGGCCATGTCAGGGGTAAGAAGGTTAATGATCCCTGACTGTTTGAACAACTCCCTGTCACTTATAGACCCTGCATAGAGTCCAGACACAAATGTTATTGCACCATGAGGTGCCATTCCTATTAAAGCCTTGAATGTGCAGTGAGACTTATAGTTTGAAAAAACCTCACTTTGTAATAGCAAAGAGGAAGGTGTTTGGCAGCGGATCTCAGTACAATCCAGGATAACCTGTGTGTCTCGGAAAAGATGAAATTCCTCTGGCAAATGGGCTCGTACTCTCTCTTTCGGCATCCAAATGCACACTGACCCCAGGACAAAGTACAGGAAGTTGGCCCAGGTTGTTATGATGCGACTCACAGTGGCCTGATGTACATGGAAGCGATGACCAAGGTCCTTTTGCTTGAGGCCCAAAGCAAGATGCATCATGAACAGGAAGAACTCGTCTATTGCAGGAAGTGCCCGAGTGTTTCCACCCTCCTTGGTGACTTTGGAGTTGGTGACACGAATCATTCTGTGCGTTGCCGGTTCAATCAGTTCCCAGAAGGCCATCAGGTGGTTATAGGTTGCAAATCTGTCAAGAAATAAACGTGCATTGGTTCTCACATGGCATAAAATACTTACACTTAGCTTTATAATATAGTCATTTTCAGTTTAGGAAATAAGAATGGTGAACTACAAGTAATTGATACAACAATCTTGTAATACATCATGAGTCATGAAAATTATGGAATTCCGTATGTATGATTAAACTAACTCTGATTGCTGTTGAAGACAACATATGTTATTCATACATATAATTATGTTAGCCTATGTTGTTATTATTTTGGTCGGTGTAGCCTACTTTTACGTGCAGCTAGGTTATACAACTCAAATAATATTTAATAACACTGTGGACTAGTGTTTTCAAGACAAAGGCAACGCTATTGCAAATGCTTATCACAGGCAATATAATTTTACCTTGTATAAAAGCGTATGTCCTCATCGGACCCAGCAAATCTCTGGAGACCGAAGCGAAGTATGATCTTGGTCTGGTCCAACTGCTTCCGTAGATCTTCTATCTCCCTCGTCAACTCCTCATTTTCATGTAATACCATGTCCACAGCTGCAGCTTCGGGAACTGAACAATAATCGTGTCCAGTCCTCTCCACGTCAATATCCATATCTTGCTCTACGTCCGAGTCAGGATCAGGGGGCAGCGGTCTCTCTCGCCGTTCCCAAACACTCGACCTCGGCGGCTGCACTTGGTAACGGTTCCACTCAAACAGTGTAGGGAAAGCACCTTTTTTCACACGTCTCAGTCTAGTCCCTTCCATAAAGTCATCAGGTTTGAAATGAACACTACACACCTTTGTGTTTTTGTTGACTTGGAAGTCATCCCTCCTGATCTTAACGATCCATTTTTTCTGAGATCCTCTTCCACGGGAAATGAATGAAAACTCACAGTCGAGTTGTATCTTGCCGACACAACGCACGACGGCACACAACAATGTTCCGAACTAGGTCGCATTAGCTTTTGATATCGGAAAACCTTTTTCTCCATAGTTAAGCTGCCAAGATAAGAATAACTAGAATGTTTGTCGTTGTTAACTTTCGCGCGTCAGATCTAATACGGAACCGGAAACTGTTTGCCCAGTAGAGAGTGTAGTCGGAAACACGTCACAATCCCCGCTGCATAGAGCCTATTAGAGGGGGTAAAGTTTAATGCGTATTTGGCGTCCTGTCCGGGGGGAGGGCACCGAGCTCGGATTTTGGCCCGAACCCAGAGTACTCTTTCTTCACATTTCATTTTTCATTTTCATTTTATTGTTTATTTTTACAGGGACAATGCACAATTAAAAGTAATTGCACCAGAATTAGCTAATAGCTAGTTTACATCTGCTGTCCCTGGGCAGGTAAACAAATAAAATAACATACATTACATATACACCACATAAAACATCACAATACATACATGTGCATAATATAAAATTTAAAACCAGAATATAAAACAGATAATGTACAACACAGTCATTAGTGGTTGCAGATCTGTTGTGATAGTAGCCAGTACTTTAGCTTATTTTTAAAAATTGAGAAGCTATTGAGGCTTCGAATATTTGTAGGTAGGGAATTCCACAACCCCACTACTCTAACTGAAAAAGCTTTTTGCCCAAAGGCTGTTTTTCTGTACTGCGGTACCAAATCTCCCCTGGCAGAGGCTCTAGTCCTACCTGCACTTCCATTATGGGTCACACATCCCTGAAGAGGGGGTGGAACAAGATTATGAATAAATTTGTACATCAGGCACACATCAGTATAAAATACAGACATCCCAACCTGCAAGAAGTCATTTCAGGGAGGTATATCTTGGTGACTGGATTGTTGACGGGGGGGGGGGGGGGGGTGACTGGATTGTTGATGGGGGGGGGGGGGGGGGGGGGGGGGTTGTCTATCTTTCCTGAGGCACACTCGCAAGGTCTCTCGCTCTCTCCCTCTCTGCCTTGCACGCGCCGCGCGCTGTGTATGTTATGCGCGCAGTCAGAGCCGTTAAATATGAGTTTTTCTAAGCTCTGGGCGCAGTATGTTCTATCTCGCTCTAGATTCCGGGAGATTTGAACTAATTTGCGGGCATCAGGGAGAGGCTAGCAATATGCGGGAGACTCCCGGAACTTCCGGGAGACTTGGGATGTCTGAAAATACAAAATTATTCATATTTAAAAAATGTAACCTTTTCAAAATAGTACAATGATGGTAGTCCCTTGGTTTTTTATCTAACACTTTCATGATTTGTTTATGAAGGGAGTACACAGGCTTAAGTGTAGTTGCATCTGCTTGTGACCAAGTTGTTATACAATACGACAAGTGAGGTAGAATCAGAGTATGTACTAAAAGAAGTGCAGCTGATTCAGAGAGCTGGTGCCTGATGCTTTTAAAATTATTCAAATGGAATTTAACATTATTTATAACCCTTTTTACTTGCTTTTTAAAAGACAGGTGTTGGTCTATTATTATTCCTAAATATTTAACATGCGTCACAAATTTGATTGCTTCACCATTAAATATGATATCTGGATTCACAGAATTTTGTTTTCGTGCAGTGAAATATGTGCATACAGTTTTACTTACATTTAGAGACAAACAAGACTCATTCAACCAATTTGAGACTTTCACCAATGCAGATGACAGTTAGTTTGCAACTAATTCTTTAGTTTTTGCATGAGTAAAAAGCACAGTATCATCTGCATACATTATAACGTCTATACCTGGACATGCTTGAGGCAGATCATTAATATAAATACTAAATAAAATCGGTCCTAAAATTGACCCCTGAGGAACCCCCGTAGGCATGGGCGTCAGTTTGGTTTGAAATGTGGGGGGGACAGAGACGCATTCGGAAGGGCATTTTCAAAAGTGCTGGGTACAATGACGCATTCATTCTTTTTTCTCTTTCGCGCAGGTCATGGTTTGAAAGACGCCGATGTCCTGTAGCTTACTGATTTAAATAAATAAAAATGTATACAAAGATGTGATGATGTCCGACCAAAAATGTGATGGTACTTTGGGTTTAAATTTAATATTATATTAAGATCTAATATAATGTTGTTAGTATCGTGCATTTTTATGTGAATATATACATAGATCCGCCTGCGTTGCGTATGTACTGTAATGGTCCAGTGGCAGAATTTTTGCCAAGCGTGTCGGAAGTTGAGGGTTCTAATCCGCACTCGTATAGTTTTTTTTCCCACATCAAAACCGATAATTGTATATCAAGAATCTTGATATACTTTATCACTGATAAACATTATCGGTTTTGATGAGGGAAAAAAAAAAACTATACGAGTGCGGATTAGAACCCACAGAAGCAGGGACACGTTTGTGTGCATTTTGAATTGTGATTTCTCTGGAACGAATAGAATCTCTGCAACGGATTGAAGCGCGCGTCCGAGTGAAGACAACACATTTCAGCGCTAGATCGCCTCTTATTTAACAAATGAATGAAACGAATGCTGCTAGTTAACTAGAGATTTTTTATTTGTATTGGTACATCCGTGACGCGAGATGTTTCAAAAGTGGTGGGGACAATATCGACCCTGGCAAAAAGTGGTGGGAACATGTCCCACCCGTCCCCCCCGTAAATGACGCCTATGCCCGTAGGACAGCTAGCAAATGAAGAGCATTTATCAGCTACTCTTGTGCATTGACTTCTATTACTGAGGTATGATTTCATCCACATCAAGGCAGCATCTGATAATTTAAATTTCTGAAGTTTTGACATTAAACAGTTATGATTCACTGTGTCGAATGCCTTTGCTAAATCTAAAAACACAGCTCCAACAACACCACCTTTGTCAATTTGACTTCTAATTTGTTCGACAAAATAACAATTAGCAGTTTCAGTAGAATAATTTTTTCGAAACCCAAATTGCATTTGGTGTAGATTTACTTCACTTTCGTTTAAATAAGAAACTAATTGATCGCAAACTACTCTTTCTGTAGTAGTAAACTAGTGCTTTAATTTCTCTTCGAATTGGCCGATTAAGGATTTTGGTATGATATTAAAAAAACTTTTACCTTCTTGTCTATATAAAAACCTTTTTTTTGTCAACTTTCTTACGATTAAGGTCAAGTTGTGGTCTGACATACCTGTTATTAAATTTAATGATTTTGTAATTCTTTCAGGTTTATTGGTAAAAATTAAATCTATCTGAGTTTGTGTTGATTGAGTAAACCTAGTTGGGCCAAGGATCATTTGTGTAAGATTCAACTGATCTGATATGCTTTCAAGTTGATATCTCTTAGTTTTGTCCGCCCAGTTTATATTAAAATCACCTAAAACAATTAATTCAATTTTTGGACCAATTTCCTTTAGTACCGATTTCAATTTGTCAAAAAATGTCTTTGTTGAATTAGGGGGTCTGTATAATCCAACCACAGTAAAAGACATTTGAGGAGATAAAACAATAGTAACAATAATACATTCTAGATCTTGCATTGAATTAAGATGAACCTCCACACATTTAAAATGATTACAAACATACAGAAGGACTCCTCCTCCTCTGCCTGATTTTCTATCCTTCCTAAAAACATGATATCCCTGTACAGCAAAAGCAGTCTTTGGTGATAACTCAGTTAGCCATGATTCAGAGAGAAAAAGAAAGTCCAAATTAGAATCCATCAGCAGACCCTCAATTTGCTCTGTCTTTGATACAATACTTCTTATGTTCAAATGTCCGCCGAGCAGGCCTTTGGGTTTTAGTCTTTTATCCCACAATACTTTAGACTGGTTTACTGGTTGGAAAAGTTCAAACTTTCTTTTAGTCGTCATTCTATTTAAATGTTCTTTGCAGCCATTCAAGTTAAGAATAGTGTTTTGTGGAGTTGCGATCGGACTTACTGATCGATTGACACTTCCATAATGCAGTTCAGTGGCGTTTACAAGCTGAGGTGTAACGCTATCCGGCAAAAATGGCTTTCGTTCAACTTTGCAAACTGGTCCTGGGTTTGAATGAACGTCACCTGCCAATAAGATCGTGATTAGCAGGTAGCTGGTTAGCTTGTAGTTTGGGCTTGAAGATTTCATCCTAGAGCGTGGCCGGACAGTAGTTGGTAAGTTAGCCGTTCCATTGCTCAGGATATTTTGATATACAGCTTGATGACTCAGCTGAGCGAAGACAACAACGCTTCCCCGCGCAACACCGCCAGCTCGACCAAGCCAGCAGCAACGGAGCGAAAGCAGCAGGAGAGCTAAGATGTAAATAATCATTCCGCCTCGATACGCCATATTTCCAGTGAATTGCTTTAATCCAGTTTCAGGTCTCGGTTTGAAGTTTGATTTGCAACAAAAAAACATTCTTGTTGAAGTTAGTATTGTACTTATATTTGGTTTTGGCTGAGCAAACGCCAGCAGCACCTGCCGTACTCCGTGTCCGCGTCCCCGAAAATTTCACATTCTTATCATTCATTGGTGAGTGCTCTCCACTCGTGTTAATTATCTGAACGTGCTTCTCCCGAACTTTGCTAATAAAACATAATTTGTATGGATAGGCTTTGTTTGTGGGGCTTGTTTATTTAACCTCAACTGTTTTTGTATAGGTCCTGAGACCATTCCTGGAGGTGACAGAGGAGATGTCTGCTGAAAGCCACGTCACATCCTCTAAGTTAATTGTCTTGGTGCGCAACTTGCAGAAGCTGACTAGAACTATGGCAAACACTTATGCTCCAGAGTCTGTTGGTCAGAGGCTAGCTAGCTCTTTAAACAAGAACCTGACCAAAAGGTGTGGCGACTATGAATCAACTAGGTGTG